TTTATTAGAGATAGGATCTCACTAAGTTGCTTTGAGCCTCGCTAAGTTGCTGAGGCTTTGAAGTATATTCAAGGCTTTGAACTCTCCATCATCTTGCTTCGGACTCCTGAGTTGCTAGGATTACAGGCGTGCATTACCACACCCAGCTAACATAATGTTTTTAAAAGTCTCCTAAGAGAAATTCGGAAAATTGTTGTCTCTTAGTCACATTTAGGAATATCTAAAGTCTCCAATATCTAATAGTCATTTGTAATACTCAAAATTAAGTAAAATAAAAATTAATTTCTTTAGTAGCACCAGCCATTTTTCAAGTGCTCAGTAGTTCCATGTAGCTACTCTTAATTGGACAGTCCTACTATATTTTGTTGTCAGAGAAACTTCTTTTTTTAGGCTCCCTTATGCCTAGTTTCCATTTAGCTAGCCTGTACTATGAATCTACTATCTTAATAGTCTCACCTCATTCCATCTTTGTGGTCTTTTTAAAATATCATGACTTTAAGATACTAGTTCTCTTTTCTTAATGTTTGATGGCAGTAATGAAAGCTGTCTGAGAATTATGATGTATAATTCTGGTTTTGCTTTGGATTTTTGCTATTTTGCTGGCATTTTGAGACTGGACACTAACATTTAAACATTTTTTCAGGTCCCCAGAGGCAAATTTTAGACAAATCTTATTATCTCGGACTCCTTAGGTATGTTAATTAAACATGTCTTTCTATGAGTGATCATGAAGTTTTATCTATGGTTCTTATCATAATAATTAGGTATCTGTTGATGCTTAAGAATTATTTTGTAGTTTATCAATTTCTGGTTTATTTGGCTATTCTGTAAAATATATACAATAATAGAATTAGACTGAGATATAAAATTTTATGTATTTGCATATATGTGAGCTATATATTTTGTCTCAGTCTGTTTGTACTTCTATAACAAAATGCCTGAAGTTGGGTGATTTAATAATTATGTAAATTTATTTCTCTTAGTTCTGGACATTAGGAAGTCTAGGATCAGTGTACTGGTAGGATCAGTGTTTGATAAGGGCCTGGTTCAATAGATAGCACAATCTAGGTGTCCTCTCTCTTTCACATAATTAAAGAGCAAAACAGGGCCTACCACTTCCCTCCAGCCCTTTCATAATATACTACCTAATCTTATTTATGAGGGAAGAGCCTTTCTGGCCTAATCAGCTCTGAAGCTTCACTTCTTAATACTATTGATTTGGGGACATGCACATTCAAACCATATCATAACGTTTACTGTTTTCATCTGAACATAAACATAATATTCTAAACTTTTTGGTATTCTGATACATAACATTTGTGTTATTGTATAACACAAATACTGATACATAACATTTGTGTTATTGTGTCACCTGTTATACCTAATAAAAAAGGAAAAATCTATGGAGGGCTGGGGTATAGCTCAATTGGTAGAGTGCTTGCTTCACATGCACAAGACCCTGGGTTCAATCCCCAGCACCACCAAAAAAAAAAAAAGGAAAAATCTGTATACTTTTTTTGTGACACCCTAATCAGTAGAGGGTTTTAGATAAATATATGTTTGGTAAGTTACTACAAATATGACCTAATTTTAATTAATCCATAAGTTTTGTCATATGTCACTTAAGTGTGAAGCACTAAATTAAGAACTTGTCAAATGTCTAGCTCCAAATTGAGAACTTTTGGTCATTTTCTACCTACCATATGCTTGGATTTCCTATTGTTCTATCTACATTTTCCAATTTTACTTTATTTTCTTATTGGCTCCTCATCTGTATCTTCTTTCTCTCTTATTTCCATTTAATTTAATCCATTCTTCTATCATGCCTTAAAAGCCTTGTTTACTTTCTTAGTTCTTGATTCTTTTGTTTCTTAATTACCTGGAGGATCATTTTGATTCTCAAATTCCTAGGAGGCCATCTTTCCTTAAAACTAAGATTAATAACAAAGACAGTAAGTCTGTGAGATGATGTATAATGTCTCTGATATTCAATGACATTCTAATCAAAAGAAAAAAAAAATAAAACAATGCCTGGTTATTGCATTGCCTCCTTTTAGGTTTTGTGTTTCTGCATCAAAGAATATTTATGTTAGTATAATTGTTTTTCTAGAGCATTAGTTTTCAACTGGGTTGATTCCATTAGTAAATATTTGGCAATTTAAAATTTTTTTTATAGTTGTAGATGGAAAGCATTTTGTTTATTTTTTTTTAATGCGGTGCTAAGGATCAAACCCAGTCCCTCACACATGCTAAGTAAGTGCTCTGCCACTGAGCTACAGCCCCAGCCCATATTTGGCAATTTTTATACACATTTCTGGTTGTCACAATTGGGGTTTTTTTACTGCTGGCATCGAGACCAGGGATGTTTCTATACATACTGTAGTGCATAAGATAGCCCTCTACCACAAAGTTATCAATCACTGTCCTAAAATGTCAGTAATGCCACTATTGAAAATGTAGCAGTTTTAAGAATGACAGGAATCTATATCTGTTTGACTAGGCTTCAATTCTCTTCCTTTTTGACCTTTCTTAATAATTAGAGAAACTATGTCAGTTTCTTATCAGTTGAGTAGAATTAGATGAGATAGTCCTTATTCTTATTCAAATAAACCATTGAAACTTTTTTTCTTAGGGAATTTCACACTATTTATATTATTGCATATTTATGAAAAGTTTGTTTTGTTGAACTGGAAAGTCTTTTTTAGGACTTAATTGGTTTTATTAATTATCTAGACTTACAAAAGTGATGGATACAATATTTATAGAGCTGAGGAAATAATCTGTCATGACTGTATCTGTTACACTGTGGATAGCACAAAAACATGAGGGTATATTCTATTACTATTTTTGAACTGTAATCCATTTCAGGAAAGTAGTTAGTTATGTCATTGGCAATTAAGTTCCAAATACATCTTTTGTGGTTTTATCTTATGAATACAAATGAAAATTCCAACCTTGATCATGTTGGAAATAGAATTATTCATTAGTTGTAACTATAGACAATCTACAAATATATATATGAATTTTGTAACTAGGAAGCCTTTTCTAGATTAGAAGTATGGCTGACGTTCTTCTTTCTTTACAGAAGTAAAATAAGTGAACTTACAACTGAAATAAATAAACTTCAGAAAGAAATAGAAATGCATAATCAAGAGAATTCAGTGTATTTGTCATATGAAAAGAGGTAAGTAACTTTGCAGTTAAAATATGAAAGATATTTTTATGTACTCTTACTACTGAATAGGTATTAATTTAGTATTCATTCAATATTACATATCCATAGAATAAGAATTAGTAGTTATCCATAATGTTTACATGAATGTATTTATTTTATGCTTTCAGGGCAGAGACTTTAGCTGTTGAAATCAAAGAGTTTCAAGGACAACTAGCAGACTACAACATGGTATTTGCTCTTTTCTGAGAGAATTTGCTTTGAATATTTTCATTTTTTTTTACAGCTTAAGAATACATGAATATATAGTTACTGTGAAAGATTCAATCTATAAAATATGTAGAGAATAAAGTGCCCCTTTCTTCTCTCCTTCATTTTCCTCATCAGAAATTATTTGGCTTACCAGATTGATATGTATTCTTCTAATATGTTTTAAAACACATTAATTTATGAGTACACAAACACACATGCATTTCTTTCTATAACAATACTGAAATAATAATTTAATAGCTAGAATTTACTGGGTACCATCAATGCCACTGCTTTGAAAACACCTTTACCCTTTTATGGAATTTTGCCATCATGAAATTTTTAAAATTTAATTATTTAGCACACTAATTACTTCCATATGTATGTTTTATTGTGTGTACATTCTGTCAAATAGAGTATGTAACATAAAATATTTCCACCAAGGATCCTTTCCAATGTAAACTTCAAGAAAAAACAGTTGCTTTAGAACTACTGATAACTGCCTCAAGTCTTTGGGTGTTGTTGCTTCCATGAAAATTTTCATTGTGAGAATTTTCTTTATTCTGACTCTTCGGAACATTATACAGCAGAGGGGTCCAGATTTAAAGAAAATAATAAATTTTTATCTCACTACTCCTATTAAAAATGATTACATAAATTATGATATATCTATATTGTTATATTTTGCTTATCAATAAAATTTTGCTGATTGTAGCATATTTTAAATCTTAAATTTTCAGAACCACACAATCCATAACAAACATTTTGTAACATCTCATGTTCAGTAATATTTTCTTTAGTAAATGTTATTGTATTCTAAATATGAAAGAATATTCTTATAAGTTGGGGATGACAATATATAAAAGTAATTATTAGTTATGCCAAAATGTATTTGATAAGTTACTTAATAAGCTGGGCATAGTGGTGAACACCTATCTGTAATCCCCCCAACTCATGAGACTAAAGCAGAAGGATCACAAAATTTAAGCCAATCTCATCCATTTAGCAAGACACCCTATCTCAAAATTAAAAGGGCTGATGTCATCTTACATAGATGAAGTTTCCCACTTGATATCGGTGTGGAGTTCCTTTGTCCCCAGGTTGGTAGGCAGTGGCCAGCTGTTTCCACAGGTATCACTGAGTTTTTTCAAAAGCTTTAAGTCTGTCAAGCAAGGGGGTGTGAAAGGAATCGTTAGGTCTTAGAGTTGGGGTCAGGTCCCTTATTGGAGGAGGGGCATCATAGAGAATTTCATAGGGGGTAAGGTTACACAAAGAAACAGAGGGAATATTTCTTGCATGAAACAGTGCATAAGGCAGGAGCATAGTCCAATCTTTTATGCCTGTCTCCAAGCTTAATTTTGTCAAGGTCTCTAATGGTTCTATTTATTCTTTCTATTTGTCCTGAGCTCTGGGGTCTATAAGCACAATGTAACCTCCAATTAATCCCCAGGGTCCTGGTTAACCCTTGATTTACCTGGGCTACGAACGCCGGTCCATTATCAGACCCTATTACCTTAGGCAGGCCGTATCTTGGAAAAATATCTTCTAGGATTTTCTTGACCACCATTTGTGCCGTTTCTTTTTTTGCGGGGAAGGCTTCAATCCATCCTGAAAATGTATCTACAAAGATTAGGAGATATTTAAGTCCATACCTTGCTGGCTTAATTTCAGTAAAGTCCATTTCCCAAAATTGTCCTGGTTTGGTTCAAGGGGTAAGCATTAACCAATTAACAGACCCGACAGGCTTTTGTTACCCGTTCAGCTATTTCCTTTCGCTGTGAGCCGGTTAGTGGAAAACTCTGTTCTTGATCCTTCAGGAACCAAGGTGAGTGAGTTGATGTACATTTTTAATGTAGTGTAGGGCTTTAAATTGCAGGCTAGGCTCAGTAAAGTCGAGGAGTTCAGTGTTAGTGTCCTTATGTTCCCCCGGTGTGGAAAGTGTTAACATGGTTTTTCCATTTAGGGCTGCCAATTTAGTTTCTTCATTTGCCCTCTTGTTAGATGGGGGTGGTATCTGCACAACGGTTTGTTTTCTGGGCTCAGTGAGCCATCGTTTATTGCCCCTAAGGGAATAGTCCAGGAAGATTACTTCTTGCTGGCAAATTTGGGCCTTTTTGGCAGAAGCTCTATACCCGAGTTGAGCAAGCTCGGGTAATAGTGCTTGGGTCCCAGACTCACAGTTTTCTTTGGTATCGGCTGTCAGTAGCAGATCATCCATATATTGAAGCAGGGTGACTTCAGAGTGTGTAGTTGTGAAGTTGTTGAGATCTCTGTGGAGGGCTTCATCAAAAAGAGTGGGGGAGTTTTTGAACCCCTGTGGGAGTCTGGTCCAAGTTAGTTGATCAGATGTTCCAGTTTCTGGGTTTACCCATTTGAAAGCCAACAGCAATTGACTATCTTTATGCAGAGGCAAGCAAAAGAAAGCATCTTTTAAGTCCAGGACAGTATACCATTTTCGCTTGGGGTTAAGGGTGCTAAGCAGATTGTACAGATTAGGTACTGTGGGGTGAATGTCCTGCACTCTGTTGTTGATCTCTCTTAGGTCTTGAATGGGGCGATAGTCCCCGGTTCCTGGCTTTTTTACTGGTGGCAGGGGAGTGTTCCAGGCCGATTGACAGGGCCTTAGGACCCCTAAGGCCAGATATTTCTGAATATGGGGCCTTATCCCATCTTTAGCTTCTTTGCTCAGAGGATATTGTTTAATATTAATTGGAGAGGCTGAGGTTTTTAACTCCACTATTATTGGAGGTTGTTTTACGGCTAGGTTTAACCTAGCAGTTTTTGTCCAGGCATCTGGGTAATCTGTTATCCATTTCTGAGATAGCTTGTCTGTTTGATCAGTCTTGGGGGGTATGAAGAGTTGATGTTTATCTTCTACTGACATAGTTAAAGCCATGACTATAGGAGTTTTTATTGAAGGATTTAGAAATTTCATTTGGGGGCCTTCAGGGTTAAAAGTTATTTTGGCCCGGAGTTTGGTGAGCAGATTTCTGCCCATCAATGGGGCTAGGCATTCTGGGATCATTAGGAAGGAATGATGGATTTTTCTTTTTCCCAGGTCCATGGTCCTCTTAGTTGTCCAAGCCCAATATTTACTGCCATTAGCCCCTTGAACTAGAGACCTTTTAGTTGATAGAGGGCCCAATGGGGCCTTAAGGGCTGAGTATATTGCCCCTGTATCCACTTCAAAGTTTACTGGGGTCCCCTCCACTTCAAAAGTTACCCTGAGCTCGGGGAGGGGATTTGAGCCCTGACTTTCCTAGTCATCTTCCAAAGTTAGAATGGCTGGTTGGCGTGGCTGTTTCTTTCTAGGGCACTCTTTGACCCAGTGTCCTTTTTCTCTACAGTAGGCACATTGATCTGAGGCCAGATGCGGCTTCTGGCGTGGGCCCAGGTATCCCTTTCTGTCTCCCTGTCTCCTAACTTCTGGCCTATTTGTTGTTGTGACCAGGACCTTAGTCAATGCCTCAGTCTGTCTTTTGCTTCTTTCATCTTCCTTTTGCTCCCTTTCTTTCTCCCTCCTTTGTTCCTTCTCTTCCTCAGTTTCTCTCTTATAGTATATTTTCTCGGCTTCTCTGACTAAATCTCTCAAAAGTCATATCTTGTAATCCATCTAAGCATTGTAACTTTTTTTTAATATCCAGGGCAGCTTGTCTAATAAAGGGCATCGTGACAGATGCCTTTTGATCCTCCACCTGAGGATCAAAAGGAGTATATCTCCTATATGCCTCCATAATTCTCTCCAGAAACATAGAGGGTGATTCATTAGGCCCTTGAATAATCTCTCTTACCTTTGTCAAATTAGTTGGCCGTCTAGCGGCTGCTTGGAGACCCGCTATTAGAGACCGGCGGTAAGTGGACAGATGTTCCCTACCTTCAAAGGTGTTGGGGTCCCAGTTAGGTCGGTTCAAGGGGAAGTTGTGTCGGTTGCCCATCTGGTCCGAGGATATTTTTTTTCTTGCTTCCAGGAGGATTCTTTTTTGTTCCTCTGTCATGAAGAGAGTCCCTAGGAGTTGTTGGCAGTCATTCCAAGTAGGCTGGTGTGAAAACATCAATGACTCAATCAGACCTGTGAGCCGGGTGGGGTCCTTGATAAGTTACTTAATAAGCTGGGCATAGTGGTGAACACCTATCTGTAATCCCCCAACTCATGAAAAGCAGAAGGATCACAAAATTTAAGCCAACCTCATCCATTTAGCAAGACACTCTATCTCAAAATTAAAAGGGCTGGTCATGTAACTTAGTAGTAAAGCTCCTGTGGGTTCAATCCCTTGTCTCACCAAAAACAAAAGAAAGATCTTAATAATGTATAAAATATGCTGTTTATAGGTTTAATGAGCTAATATCCAATAAATAGAAAGCACTTAACTAGGTGTCTAACCTATGGTTAGCATTTAATAAATACTAAGTCTTACTAGCACTTATATGTATAACAAATGAGAAAATGTGATGTATACTGATATATATCCTATTAATCTTTTGTCATCAATTACACTTACACTGTTTGCTTTTAGTGTTTAAATAATTTGATTTCCTGTCTGGTTCCAGTACTTCCTAAATTTTTCTGTAAAATGTGGACAATAGTATTTACTTCATAGAGTAATACTAAAAAAACTAAATAAGTTAGTACATGTAACAGTATTTGGCACAAATACTTTGTGCTAGCTATTAATATCATTGCCTAACTTTTTGAAGTAGGCTTACTATTGCCTAATTTTTTGAAGTAGGCTTACTATTGTGTTGTCTATGGATTCCTTTCTTGATTTTTTTTTTTAAATTTTTTAAAAAAGAAAGCTGTTTTTCAGTAGTGTAAATTTGAAAACCTGTTAACGTTCTCTCCTAGGAAAAAAGTAAGAGAGTGATGAATCTGGTAAACTTTAGTCTTTTCTAATCTTTCTGTCTGTTCAGAGCAGACAAAGCTGTTTAAGGTACGAGTTGCAGGAAGAATATTTCATTATTACCTATTTTTCCACACTAAAATGTAGTTTACTTGGCCAAAAAGTAAAGTATATTTATTTATTTAGCTCAATATTTGTTTTTATCTTCAAAGATAAGATGCTTTCAAGTATTTATTTAGTTAGCTCAATATTTGTTTTTATCTTCAAAGATAAGATGCTTTCAAGTATTGGTACTTAAATTACTACTCATTATGTGAGATTGAATTACTTTGATTATGAATTGTACAGAATGTTAAGACTAACAGAATGTCGGTTTTTTGTGTTTTTGTTTTTAGTTGGTAGATAAACTTAATACCAATACTGAAATGGAAGAAGTAATGAATGATTACAACATGGTAAGAGAATTCATAAATATAAACAATAGATTTATAAAAATAGTATCCTCAAAATAAAGCATTTATATCTAGAAATAGTTTGGTAAAATCTTTTAGGCCTTAGAGATGGACATTACTTTGATTCTAAATATCACTGTTATAGATGAACCCCCTTAGTTGCTCTTTTTAAATTCCTCCTCTTGAGTGGCTCCTCCAAATAGATGCTTCACTGTCTGTCCACAAGGCTCTGTTTGAATTGGCCTTGTACTCAACCTTAGAATGTCTTCTATATTGCTTGTTTATAGATTAGTTAAAAATACTTCAGTTTTAATTTTTGTATAAGTGGAGTTGAGTACTCAGTAGAGATAAATGATATCTTTTTATAGTTTTAAGGGGGAAAAAATGAGTAGATATGATGCCAGATGTTCTGACCATTGATTGGTAAATAAGAATTTTATTTAGATTAACTATTTGGTAGAAAACAATGAAATGTTCATAACTAGCCTATTTTGATTATAAACATTAGAAAGAAAATAACATAAAGTTCATAACTTATATAGCTTATAATTTATTTACATGACCAGAAACTATTCAGTAAAAACATAGTTTATAAAATGACTCTTCTAAATTTAAGATTCTAAAACCATGATAATTTAGTAGATTATGTTTAGGATACAGAATAATTCACATATTAAAAACTGTGCTAGAAATAAAAAGTAAGAACTTCTTCATGTGCATTGTCAGTTATTTGGGATATGTCCAAATTCTATTCTAGATTTGCACAGGTCGTGTCAACTAGGAGTACTCATGTAAATACTGAGTGATGTGAGACAAAAAACCCATGCTGGTTCTAAATTCTTCACATTATTAATTATACGTTTATTGAAAACCAGTAAATTCTTAAGATGTTGTTTTTATAAATGAAGGTTACATTGGATTATTTAACAGATCACTGAAGAACAGTGAATATTTTTGGCATGAGATTATGATGCTTAGGAAAACAGCTCTTTCTTTTTATCTCATGGTGTTCTTTGTTAAATGAAACAATTACTGTAGTTTTTTTCTGGATCTTTGTGGCATTAGGATTATTATTATAATCTGTATTTAGTTCATAACCAGAATAACCTTTAAAGAAAGTATTCAGTTTAATGGTTACATTTTTATAACTAACTTCTCTGTGTTAACTATTTCTTCAGCTTAAAGCTCAAAATGATCGAGAAACACAAAGTATGGATATCATATTTACTGAAAGACAAGCGTAAGTTTATTCTATTTAAAAATCATATTTATAAATGAGTTTACTATGTAGTTTAACTAGTGAGTTATTTATTTCCTTATAGAAGTTTTAACTTTTTTTCTATTGCCTTTTTAAATTAAAAATAAATATTTGCAATGGAAGTTTATTTTTGTACATGTTATCTTCATTTACCACTAAATTACAAACTTCTGTATGAAGAAAATGACTGTATAGATTATATATAAATAATTTCTGCTTCTAAGAACCTAGAATTTGAGATAAGAATGTTATATCTTCCATTTATAATTTTAACCTAGAATATTAATTAGATTATGATATTTTAACCCCAGTTCAACTAAAAATTCATTAGTAGACTATTTAAATTTTTATTAGCATTGTTGATAATTATATTAGTATTCTATATTATATTTGTAGGTTATCTGTGTCTTTATAACCTATCTAAAGACTAAATTACTAGCTAGCTTTGACTTTGTTATTAACTGTGACAGTGACAGTAACACATACAAAGATAATGAGTAGACATGATGTAATTATTTTTCATGAAATTTTGGGCCCTAATTAGATACTTTATATTACAGCACAAACATAAAAGATGATCTATTTTTGTATAAACACACATATAAACTTATTCTGGACCCAAAATGTATTAATATAAATCTGTTTGAGAGCAAGGATAATTACTAACAAAAATCATGAAATTCAGTAATAACAAATACACTGTCATGTTACTTCTACATAAACAGTAAATATTTCATGACAGAATACTGAAATACAGTAATAAAACATTTGAAAGGTAACTATAATTTTTTTATTGATTAAAACAAAAGTTTCTTTTTCTCCTATCACTTGATGCTATTGTGAAGTGCTTTGTTGTGAAGTACTTTTTTTTTTGTACTAGAGATTGAACCCAGGGATGCTTAACCAGTGAGCCATATCCCCAGTCCTGATAGCTATTTATTTATCTATTTGATAGCTATTTATTTATTTATTTCGTATCAGGGATTGAACCCAGGAACATTTAACTACCAAGCCACATCCCAGCCCTTTTTATTTTTATTGGAAACAGGGTCTTGTTAAGTTGCTTAGGGTCTTGCTAAGTTGTTGAGCCTGGCTTTGAACTTGTGATCCTCCTTTTTCAGCCTCATTTGCCTCTGGGATTATAGGCTTGTACCACTTTACCTGGCTTGTAAAGTG